GACCCCCATTTAGGAACAGCTCTCATTTCTAGAAACTGCTCAGAAAACAATACGCTTACGGTTACTACCCGTTAAATTGCACATGAAAATACAAAGTGTTACGTTAGAAAATTATCCATAGTCTCGATATACTTAGATATGTTTGGATTGGAGTTTTTTTTTAATATTTTGTACAAACGTGAGTGTTTATCACAGCTAGATCTGTTGTCCTGAGGGCCAGCGGCCGTTACAAGTGACCGGCTGACGCGAGATGATTTCGTAGGTCCGCGGTGATTACCCGGCATCCGGCGTAGCATACATCATGCGAGGCCGAGCCCGAACTTAACGAACCTCGGACTCAGAGGCATTCCCTAGGGGCGTGAGCACGCGCTCCGTTCACCTGCCTACCAATCAGGGTTCACAAAAATACACGTCAACTATGCCAGTAAAAATGATTCCTAAATGTAACATAGTTATTTTATACGACTAATTTTAACTGGTGTACCTTTTTGGCGTTTAAGTTTAAATTATTATTTTTGTAGCTGTTGTAAATTGATTTTTTACATTTCAATATAACATTGTGACCGATTTTACTTACATTTGACAAATGACTAATATGTTCTATACTATATGTCGTAATTTGTCATCTACAAAATTGTCTATAAAAATAATGTGACAACCCTGTGAGACGGTTAACTCTGGGTTAAGAACAGGTGTGCGAGCGAACGCCGAAACTCATCGCTTGATCTAAAAGATTAGATAAGCGCTCGATAATAACAACCTTTGCTTAGTGTTGTCTGTTGACACTGCCATCTTGTGTTAGAACATTAAAAACTTTGTAACATGTGCTAAAATATAAAACGTATTTTAATGACGTACGCCCTATATACATGTTATGGCAGTTACATAAACAGGTTAAGCTATTAAAGTAACCGTTATGTAACGTGTTGTTTGAGTCAAATAAACAAAAATAAGTTGCAATATTTAAAAAGTGTGTTCGTAATCTTGATGTTTTATACATAAATAATAGAAGAAAATCATTGAAATAAATGAGGTTAATTAACGTAATAAGAGAAGGAATACTTCAGTTTGTTGTGTATCGATTAGTTCAAAGTCTTGAATGGCGAAGTTTCATGTACAGTTAATTACTTAATTACAATAATAAAAATGCATTATTTACGCATGATAATGGTAGGAAAAAGGTGATAATATATTTAGGTCAATAATAATGTTAAAAACACGTGAGATGATCACTTAATATGAACTTAAATTAACTTCTTTATATATACTATTATAATAAAGCGTAAACATACATTTCTTCGTTGCCTAAGATGCCAGCAATTAGCGCATATTTTTGAATAATTCTTTCTTTAATAAAAAGCCACAAGAATACTTACGTCACGCTTTAGGCTATATATTTTAAGGCCATTAAACTTAGGGGGTAAATATTTTGGATAAAAACCCTAATGTGGGAAAGAGACCATAAGGTGCTGCCAACATCAAGGAAGCGAGCCAACGTTTGTCATGTTATGAAATTTTGACATTTGCTATTAATAATTTGACAAATGTAAACATTAACATAAAACTTTGGGAACTCCATGCGGATGAAGCCGCACGGGAACTGCTAGTTTGTTAATAATTTAATGAATTTGCTTCAACATAAAGACAATCTTATCCGAGTTTTTGTATCCTTAAGGATTAAAGGCATTTGAACAAATATTAGATACATTTATCACAAAACAAAGTCATAAAATGTACGATAACGAATGATATTATTGTTTAGTTACTAGTATGTAACAATACTAAGTTTTGCCCGCGATTTTATCCACGCAGAATTCGAAAAAAAAAAAAATATATAATTAACCTATGTTCTGTTAGATCATGTTCTACTTCTGTTACTACATCGACATTTTGTAGATATATAATAAGAAATATCTAACCATCCAAGCATCTATTCAGTATTTATGCATTTTGTTATTGATTATTTAGTTGTACTGTGACATCGTCCTTCTTTTCTTCATAGAGTATGAAAGAGACAATAGTATAATTGCGGAAACAGTCACGATTACGTTTATAAGGTGCGTTGACACTCCGTCTATTATGAATGAGTATCAGAGCGTCCAGTACGCAAAACTGGATCCGTTGTTATAGTTTAATACTGTTATAATTATTTGTTTTTTAATTCTCATTAAACAAAATATCTTACTATAATTGTAAATAAGAAAGATTGGACGGGATCTGTACTGAATTTACTGTAGATATGTTTGTCCGAAAGCTCATTGTTTAATTCCATCAGAATTAAATTGCGGACGAAAACTGTTAAAAATTCTTTAACAATGCTTTAAAAATTAACATATTT